GAAGCAGAGGAGAGAAGAAAGATAGGAAGAGAGGGACAGGAGAGAGGAAGAGTGGGAAGCAGAGGAGAGAAGAAAGATAGGAAGAGAGGGACAGGAGAGAGGAAGAGTGGGAAGCAGAGGAGAGAAGAAAGATAGGAAGAGAGGGACAGGAGAGAGGAAGAGTGGGAAGCAGAGGAGAGAAGAAAGATAGGAAGAGAGGGACAGGAGAGAGGAAGAGTGGGAAGCAGAGGAGAGAAGAAAGATAGGAAGAGAGGGATAGGAGAGAGGGCAAGAGGGGGGGAGATGAGGTGTATAAGGAGGAGTGGTAAGGGGAGAGAGGAGAAGGAGAAAGGAAGGGGAAGTAGAGTAGAAAAGGATGATGGAGGGAAGAAAGGAGGTAGAGAGGGGGAGGAGAGAGGGGGAAGAAAGTGTCGGATAAGGTATAAATATGGTGTATAGAGAACAGAAGAGCCAATAACTGGTTTTTCTTTCTTTCTTTTTTAGTTGATGGCAAGATGAATTGATGTAATTACTTAATAATACAACATGATATTGGCTATGTAATAGTATAGATGTGATTATATGTTATGGAAATGGAAAATTAAAAAAAAATTATGCGGGGAAAAAACAAAAATCCAAAAAGAAACAACAGTGAAAACTGGACACAGAACCACTGATTGGTTCAAAATTGGGAAAGAACACCGGCCAGGCCTGTATTTCTGTTGCCCTGCCTATTTAACTTACTGTATTTTTCAGAGTATAAGACGCACCGTTTTCCCTCAAAAAAGAGGCTGAAAATCTGGCTGCGTCTTATACACTGAATACAGCATTTTTTGGCCTGCCGAAACTCCGCCCCCTTCGCCAAAATGGCCATGCCTTTAGGAGGCTTCCGGAGTGCTCCTGGGGGCTGGGGAGGGCAGAAACGAGTGAAAAACGGGCCTTTTTTGCTCATTTTTGCCCCCCCCAGCCCCCAGAAGCATTCTATAACACTCCTAAAGACTATTCATGCCGTTTTTTGACCCAAAAACGATCCCGTTTTTGCAAAAAAGGGGCCATTTTGGGGAGGTCTGCAGAATGCATAAACTTTTTAAAAAATATTTGCCTCTTCAAAATCTTGGTGCGTTTTATACTCCAAAAAATGTGGTATATGCAGAGCACATCACGAGAAAGGCTTTAAAAAGTAAAAAAAAAAAACTTACCCACGATGCTGATTGTCGGAACTTTAAAAAAAAACTTTTTAAAGCAATTCGGGCAAAATGCTAAAAAAAAAAGTTTAAAAAAAGGTTCCAAAGCTGTGACCATCAGCTGTGCTGGGCGATCAGCTGTGCTGGGCGATTGTGTGTGTGAAGCCCAGCTGCTTTTGCATTGTGTGTCAGTTGGTTGTGTAGCTTTTGTGTTATTTTTGTGATAATTGGGTTTTGGGCTCTCTGTGACTCTGTGAGGTTCCTGCTTGTTGCAGGGGTCATTTTGTGTGAAGTTCAGCTGCTTTTGCATTGTGTGAATAAGTTGTGTAGCTTTGGGGTTATTTTTGTGTAAAGTGTGATAGTTGGTTTTTGAACTCTCTGTGACTCTGTGAGGTTCCTGCTTGTTGTCTGCCTGGTCACATGACCACGAAGCCATGCCCACCCAGTCACATGACCACCAAGCCACGCCACACCAAGCCACGCCCACAGAACCGGTAGGGAAAAATTTTGAATTTCACCACTGGGCTAGACGAATTACAAATTGGAATTAAGATTGCTGGAAGAAATATCAACAACCTGCAGATATAGCAATAGCAATAGCAGTTAGACTTATATACCGCTTCATAGGGCTT